AGCTTTAATTTTATAGTTGATTCATATAGCTAAAATTGATTGGAAAAAGGCTTGGAGATCTATTTTGGGTATTGTTTCGATTTTACCCAAATTGGCTCTACTAACCATATACAAAACTTTTAACTTTAAATTTTATATTTTTTTATAAATAAATAATATTTAAATATATAAATAAATGTTTTAAATATAAATTTATATGTTTTTTAATGAAGAAATGTTATTAAGTGAAAATTTGTTAATGATTATTATTAAATTTACTACTTTTTCGCTTAATTGGGATGTGTATCATACAGATCAACATAGATTAATTAATAAATATTTTGAATTAGGAAATTTGTGATACGAACAATTTATCAGCGTTGTTATGTTTAATTTGTAACTCAAATAAAATTCACAAATATTAATAATACTAAGATTAACCTTAGGGAATCACAACGAAGATTCATAATAAACGTTAAAGATTATTCTCAATTATACATGAGTAACTTCTGGATATTTCAGAGATTATATTTCAGTAATTACGCATTAAATCAATATATGGGAGACAGTCAGTAGAAAAGGGTGAAATCCAAATTTTGGTCAAAATTTATATTATTAGACCACTTAGCTGATCTTGATCATGTACACAAAATTATCTTAATAATTAAAATTAACAATATTTTGGATTTCCCCCTTTTCTACTGACTGCCTTTCATATATGATATACTAGTATATCATATTTATATATTTCTGCAATTGCAATAAGCTTATAGCTTTTTTAAAATCATTAAAATAGAATCGTGAAAGAAACTCTTCTGTGATTCTTTTGAGACATGTTAAATTTAACGATCACAAAGTAGTTTTTTTAAGAATTTTAATTTTTGTAAATCAAAAAAACAACTAAAATGATTTCTTCTTTATGATGATTATCATGATTTTAGATTTTTTTATTTTTTTTTTTTTTTATATTTACTATTAAAAATTACTATTACTTATATTTTTAAAGAAAACTATTTCAAAGGCTAAAACTAAAACAACATCAAAAGCAAAATTAAAATCACATATTTTAAAGAAAGTAAAAAAGAGCTTATAAATAAGCTTGATTTGATACTTTACTTAATTAAAAGAAAAGGCTTACTTTTTTGATTGATTAAATATTTAAGTATCACAAAATTAATTTTTGCTAAAATACATAGTGAAATATTCATCTGTATAAAAAAAAATATTTTTAAATTAAAATAAAATCAATCAATTGAATAATAATAATTTATTATACAAAAGGTGTTTTTGTCTGAAATTCAGATCGTTTTTTTATATATAATTAAAATTATAAATTTATATTATGATTATAAACTTATAAATAAACAATAAATTAAATTATAATTTATTTGACATATTAAAATAAATTATGTTATAAATAAGTAAAAATTAATCAGATGTAAAAGTTATTTTTATTTGCAAAAAAATAATTTCATTTTTTAATAATAATTTTAAAATATCTGCATAACTTTCAATAATTCTTTACATTTCTGAATATAGAGAAAAAAACATTAAGCGAATTTTTTATTGGAATGGCTATTGGACACAAAAGACTTGAAGAAAATTTAGATGCTACTCAAACCTTTAATATTACAATATTTTACCACCTTGATGAAAAAAAACCTTACTATATTTCAAGATTAAAGAAAGAATAAGTTTTATCTATTACAAACTCAAAGTTTGCTATTGAATCTTCTGATAATTAAATTGATGTAAATAATTCTATTTGTTCTAAATATTATTTTTATTTAATTAATTATAATTAAATAATAATCAATAAAATTATTTTTTAAACGCAATTAATTTTAACTTTTGCTACAATCTTAAATATTAAATTAGAAGTTTTACCTATTCATCAAATAAATGTTGTGAAAATAGCTTTGGTTTCAGATTCAGTACTTCTTACAAATCTTGGTATACAATTTGAATGTATTATTTCAGATTATATGACTAAAGATAAGCCAAATGAAATTCCAATAATAATATTTCATCCAAATAAAGCTATTTAAAAAATTAAATAATGATGTTAAAACAGAGGTCTTTAATTTTTGTTTCAGATGCCTTAATATCAATTGAAGAAAATTTTATTTGGAATTACAGTTTTTTACATACTCAATATCAATCAAACTTTGGATTAAAATCTACAAAAAAAATGCCTTGGTCTTCTATATCATCATCATCACCATTATCATCACTATTAACATCATTAAATATGATAATTACAAAATTAATAATTTATAACAAGATTTAAGAGTAATAGCATTCTATATCTATATTAGGAAAACAAGAAATAAAAATGAAGTTTCAGCCAACTAAATTATCAAATGCATTTGTAGTAACTGAAACTTCAATGGAAATTTCTAAAGAAATTTCTGAAGAAATTGGCGAAGAAATTCAAGAGCAAGAAGAATCAACTTGTGAAATTATATCTGTATTAAAAAAATCTAAAGGTCATCCATCTCGTACAAAATAATGTTTACTTATAATTTTATTTACTGTAAAATAAATAAACATTTTTTTATTTTATATAATAAACTTATTCATTTTTTTAAAAAAAAATTTAATATGATCAAAAAATTCATTTTAATGATTTGTTAATTTCTAAATAATAAATAATAGTAATTTTTATTATTTTCATCTTAGATGATTCAAAATGCTACATATTTTTTTTTATTTTGTCGGTCGTATTAGCATAAAATAATAAAAAAATTTATTAATAAAAAAATCAGCTTTATTACAAATCAAGAAAAAGAAATATTTTCATATCAAACAATAGTCTAAATAATTTGTAATCAATTATATAAAAAACAAAAAAAAATTTTAGCTAATAATCTGTAACTTACTAAAAATATAAAAAATAAATAAATAATCAATCAATTTTAGTTTAATAATGATATAATTTTATATAAACTTTATCATTTTTAGTTTAAACACTTTTTTATTTTTTTTGTAATATTATATTATTGAATTATTTTTTCCAGTTGGGCAAATAATTTTTTTTTTGTTTTTACTTTTGTATTATTAATAATTTATAAATATTTTTTTTTGATTTAAGCTGCTTTCGATAAGTTGGATTGTATTTTTATTATTATTAAAGATGGTACTGTAATTAAGAAGTTGCAACTTGGTAAATTGCAACTTGAGTTGCAACTGGTTGCAACTTCTTGTAAAATTTATTTTAATATAAAAATTCATAAATAGTTGCAACTCAATGAGTTGCAACTTAAGTTGCAACTAGTTAAAAATTTTAAAATTAATTACAGCTCCATCTTTAATTATTATTTATTTATTCAATTATTAAAATTTTTCTTTTTCTTTAGATCATTTTTTTATATTAAACCACTTTGGATAAATGGGATACTTGGTTTCGTTTGATTAATTATTAATTAGTTTTTTAGTATTTTTTTTAGATCTAGATCTTTAGGCGGTTTCTCACTTAGACTGATTTTGGTAAGAAAGATTGGTATTTTTTATTTTTTATTTTATTGATTGCTAATTTTTTTTAAAAATTTAAAATGGATTTCAATTTAGATAAGTGGGATTTCATTTTTTTTTATTAATTATTATATATTTTGTTTTTTTAGATATTTCACTTGGCAGTCACTTTGGATAAGTGGTTTTTTTTTCATTTTTACTTTATTGATTATTAATATTCTTTTTTTTAGATCTTTCATATTATAGCACTTTTTTTGTTTTATTTTAGTATTTATTTTCTGATTAATGATATTTTTTTTAGATCTTTTAGGTAGATTTTCACTTTAATGTCATATTGGATAAGTTGATTTGATTTTTTCATTTTTGTTGCATTGTTATCATTTGATTAATTATTAAACTTTTTTTTAGATCTAAACTTCAGAACTATACATAAAGTCGAAATAGATCATTTCGGATATCTAAAATGGTCAAAATAGTCAAAATCATTTTTTTTTTTTTTTTTTTTTTTGATACTTTTACTAGGTACGCACAAGTGGTAATATATTTGGATGCATACCTTTCAACAGAATGATACGTCTTACAACACGTCTAATTCTACTAT